GACTGCAAGGAAGGTCTCCCGTTGACAACATGGTTATGCATGCGGTTCATCGTTTCCAGTACATAGTTTGATTCATATGAAAAAGCCTAAATATTCGAAGGAAAGAAAGATGTCGCTAGTCACCAGGGCCACCAGCGCCCTCGCCTCCTCTCTGAATACCCCTCGCATCGGTGTCTTAATCAAGTGAAAAATTGTCTAACTGAAGTGAAAAACACTGTACAACATCCGCAATGCTCTCTAGACTCGGGCGCAGGTTGTTGCGAGCCTGACGTGCAACCAATCGTTCCGTCGTGGGGCTGTCGACGGCGGACGTTTAAGCAGTTGTTGAGCGGTGTTCTCGTTTCAACGACGTAACTGCACCATTATGTAATGCACACAGGTCTTGGAGAGCCCAAGATCGTGGTGAGTCTGCCCTTATTTGGACCAAACCGGGAACGTCGAATACCCCGCCCTCTTCCGAAGGAATCGACACCTCTTGCATTGCCTGTCCTTGGCATGTTGGATTTGTAGGAAGGCTTCAGCAATGCAATGTGACCGCTTTGGCCTTTGCGTTGAGTGGTCACAGCCGTGTGAACCCTTAACAACAAGGAATTGTGAGTGGGAAGAACGAATAAACTTGCTAATTGGGTTGTCACATTATTCTGGAAGGGATTTGTACATTCTCGCCACCCCAGTTTTCTTCCTCACGCTTTCAGGGATCGGATGAAGTAGCTGCGAGAAAGGGACCGCGGATTTCGCGTGCACTCGTGTCGTGACAAATTGTGCTCCCCTGTGCAAATCCGAAGGTCGTGGAATTTCACTTCTGTTTCTGTACATACTGGGTCTGTGAAGGAAAAGGGTGCTTTTGGAATAATTTGTGAAGTTATAGACATTTCCTTTCGTCGTGTGTTCCTATGAAATATGTTTTCTTTGATAAATATTGATAGATGCGGGAAATTTCTCCTTCGCAGTCGAATTCGTAATGCTGATGAGGAAGCCCAGGTTCGTTCGAAGCCGGTCAGGCAATTCAGATAAGTTTCAGTAATCGCTTCCTGTCTGCGACACGCACCGAACTTCCCAACGATGGAATATCGAGACGAGTCAGTTGTTGTCGAGCGAGAGTGGGAAGTGAGACGGAGAAAATTCCCTGCGATTCCCTGCGACGACTCGGTGCTTCTTGCAAGTATGTTAGCGGATCCATCTGGCTGTCAGGGGGTTTCTTGGCAAGCCGTATTCAAGAATTCATTTTGATCGACGGAGCCATCACGAAGTTCTGGATTGGATCGTGGATCACGGGGAGAAGTACAATGGGTGTTCAAATGAAAAGGAGACTTTTAGTCCCCTACATCAGGCTACCCTTAGGTTACCCTTAGGTTACCCTTAGACAACTTAGTGACAACCATTGTCCTCTTTTAATTTGAACCCCCCTAATACATGCGAAACATGAGCATGCAATAACAAGAGTCCGGACTTCAGGAGAGTGAGAATTTTCGTTATGGGGCACAGATTCAATCCGAGATCGTTAATTGCTCTAATTGGGATTGTTAATTGGGCCTGTCGGGCCTCCGAAGTAACTCTCTCAATTGCTCACCGTTCGTCGATAATGATATGACGCAGATGCACCATCGATGGTTAATGTCGATGGAGTTGTCCAAACTACCATAATGACAGGCCACGTAAAATCGGGCGTGTGCAAATGGGGTGCGATTTCATTTCGGGTCAAATCGGTACATATTTGCGTGCTAGGAACCGCGAAGATGCTGGACGAAGCAGCGTCTCCAACCAATCGCTCCGTGAGGTTTCTTACGAGGGCATTCATGCGAGCGATGCGTTTATCTCCTCTTTGGTTTAAGTGGAGTTAATGCGAGGATCCGCAGAAACGCTGGAAATGCTTCATTCGACATGGCAGTCCTTTTTATTCATTAATTTTCTTTTCGTTCCGAAAGTACGTCGAGGAATTTATACTTCCGACAGCTGAAGCACATGTACGTGCAAATACACATGCCGGAACATGTGTATTCGCAAACGTGTTACTCGGCACATTAAGGAAATAGTAGCCATGTATCATCACAAGTGGAAGAAAGAGAGCGAAGCGGAAAAAGAGGCGTCGTCACGAGTCGAGAAAGCGCACGGCATGATACCCACGCAGTGCCCAGGGAGGCACGTGCATTCGAGAGACACACTTGCAGGCTCTGGCCGGTCGGATGCAGCTACTCGCTCTCGCAGGTGTCGGTGACTCTCGTTTTCATTCACGCAGAGGGAAAGCCGATAGAAGGAACCGATTGCTTTCGCGTGCGTCTCTGTCGAGGAATAGCGGTCTCCCCGTTTGAATTTCGAGGGCCTTGGAATCTGGTGTGTTTCTGGATGCATACTCCGCTGAAGAAAGAAGAGGGGGAAGGCTCTCTCGGGGTTGCACATGAAAATCCCGCCATTCCTTCAGTGGTACCCACGCGTGGAGATGTGTGTTGCAATGCGAATTTGCACAGAAAATGCTTGAGATCTTTCCTCTTCATTTCAAATGTAATGGTCTCGGTGAGTGAGATTGTTTGAATTGGAACTCCTCTCGAAACAGATCATCCCTACGCATTTCCAAAATCCGCTGGTTCCGTAGGTTTTATACCTGACTTAATTCCTTTTTTCCCGGCCATGGTGAACGAGCTCCTTTCTCGTCGCAAGAGAGTGGATTCAATGTTTTCCCCCTTATTCCTCTTGAAATTTACGTTCCCTATCAAAAGCTCCGGCGTGCAGGTTGTTTGGACGTGGCTGATTTTGATGCTTTACGAATTCCTTTATCGAACCTGTATCCGGAGAAATGGCATTTTGAACCTGATGGCAGATGACACTTCGCACATTCATGTGGCACCTAATTCGTGCCGCGTTTGGTCATACAATGGGTACTCATGGATGAGTCGTTTCTATATCGCTCCTTACATGTAGGTTTGCGGCGTGATGGCGTTCACAGGGGGAATCTGGAGGTTGGCGATTCGTGCCACTGTGATTTCTCCTCTCGTCAGCGATCTCTTCCCCGCCTCCTCTGCCTGCATTCAGATCGCGGCTGGTGCCGTCGCCGTCCTCCTCGCCTACTTCAGATGCCGTGGGGAAATCAAGAAGGTCAAATGCATGCTAGTCACTGTGAGCCATTCCATGCAACTTTCAGTCATAGATTCGTATGGCAGACACAGATTCGCGGCTAATTGATAGTTATTTCCCTCGCAGTATTCCATCTTCCTATTATTGCTGTCCATCGTATTGTTCGTGATCGGACCCTTGGGCTTCGCGTTTCGAGAGGAAGTTGAAGAATCCATCGATAAGGCCATGAGAAAAACCCTTTTTGAGTACGATGACCGGAAAGAAAATTCCGTCAGGCTTGCCTGGGATCATGCACAGGAGAAGGTTAGAAAAATTATCTTCGATTTCATGGGGATATTATATACAATATATTTGGCAAATTGATGCATTTATATGTTCGATTTTCTGTGTTTGCCTTCTGAAGCTGAGGTGTTGTGGCATCGAGAGGGCGGAAGAGTGGCAGGGCAATCATCATCTTAAAGGCCGATACCCAAAAAGCTGCTGTCAGCTCGGCCCGGATGGAGATGTGAGCTCTCTTACAGCTAGGAAGTTTCATGCATGATTGAGAATCAAATCTGATCGTGCACTCGGCGCTATTTTTTTTTTTAGATGTTGCTATGTGAACACAACGTGGCCTACACGTGGAGGGAGGGATGTCGGATCCGATTGGAGACTTATATCCAGAAGTATTTTTCCATTCTAAGAGGCATCGGGATCTGTATTGCTGCTTTAGAGATTTTCTTCATTGCGTTTATCTATGGCTTCATGAAGAATATTGAGGGGAAACATGTGTCTTCGCCGGTCTTTGTTATTTTCCACCCAAGGACATCATGGAGGCGGAGATTCCAAGAAGTCAGAATATCTGCGGACCAGGATCCACTGAAGACTTGATGAATTTCCTTTTTCCTCCTCTCATGGTTTTTACTCTGGTTTCTCTGAGTGTCTTCCAATCGCTTCTGAGAAGTAACTCAGTGATGAATTGCGCTGTGAGTGTTTTTTATTTTTTAAATTTTCATTTCCGTAAGGCAGAAATATTTGATAAATCAAGGGAAGTTATGGAAGTTTAATCTCGCCATGTTTTGAATACCTTCATTAGGTTTCAACAGGGACAATAGTTGAGAAGACAACATCATTGTATGACTCATAGGATGAGTCACAGGATGACTGGTCGATTCTGACTTTTATTTCACGAGCAAGTTAGATAATAAATAATAATTCTATAAGCGTTTATGATTTCGAGGTGGAAATGGTGCATTTGCAAACTACTGTCTGGATGCAGTTTGGAAAATTAGCAGCTACCTTGGCAGAAAGATATTCCTCTCATAGCTCAGTTTTTCCTCTCGGTAAAATAACATTGAGGTATTCAGGATGGTTGGTGCACTGTAAAAAAAAATAATAATGGAAAATTTCATCAAGAGGTTGGAAATATTTCTCCCGACCTGCGATCGGAAAATAACATTTACAATGACATTGCCAAAAGAGATAAATCTGTCTTTTGGGTAACAAAAAGGTATACCCGAAGAGCAAAGAAACTGGCGAATCAGGGAAGAAAGGAAAATGGAGTTTACAGGTACTGACTGTAAAGAATATAATCACGCAGGTTAGAGAATTTTATATTAAAACTCTGGATCTTTGGTTACAGTTCCATGGGTTAAAAATCCGCCACGTACCCTACGAAGACGATTCACCTTAATAGGGGAAAACTGGTTTTGCATGGAAGATAGGGAATGAACAAGCCAGACTTGGAAAAGTTCCCGTTGATCTGGGAAGGCCTTCTTTCTATTGAGAGACGGTAATTTGCCAACCGAGAGAGGAATCTTGAACCTCTGAGCAGGAACGGAGTTATTCATCCAGTCCGTGAAATGCTCCCAAGCAGCATGTTTATTATAATATTATTTAAAATAATGTAAATTTGTGTCGATTGTATATCTTTTTAAAGTAAACCTTCGACATACTGTCAATATCTGTTCATAAATTGCACAATAAATAGAGGAAAGAGAGGAGGAAAACCTTATACTAAATCAGAAAGGCGGGTACTTAATTGCATTTGCAAGGTGTAGGGAATATGGGTTCCATCTAGTGAGGACTCTTGGTATTGCAAGTGTGGAAGAGTCTGTTATGGGAAGGCAGCTGGTGGTCCTCCACCTACGCCAGGCAGCAGGTCAGGAACTGCTTGTCCCACTTGCCGCCACGTTCCCGCCTCCGGTAGAAATCCGCCATTATAATGGCTGGGTTGCCATGGCCCACTACTTTTGTGCCACATACGTAATGACAGGAACATGTTGATGTCGAGGTGATGTTCGATACGTTCCTTAGGGAGAACAAATTCAGTTTCATAAAGCTGTTCTGGTCTAAAATTTCAAACGGATGTTGGATTTGTACAAACTTGTATATCGTACATTATATCAGGTGAAGTCATGTCTAATTTAAATGAAATACACGTCCACTTTGGTGATGTAAATAAAGAAACGCAAATTTCATATGAATATCATTTGCATGACAATTGCTAGAAATTGACATTGTAAAAAAAAAAAGTACATATGTGCATAAACGTGCTGCTTGGGCTAGTTTTTGTTGTCTTCACGCATTCCATTTCAGAATTTTCATATTTATTTATTTATTTAAATACTGAGTTCCGAGATGAAGGAGGGAACCCAGAAGATATCCCCAGGTCTATATTACCCATTTCAAATTGCCACGTTCTCTGCACCGAAGACAAATACGAGGGTGGTTCAAGTCATTCGTGAATGTATTTTTTGGAGCATTCATTTGCAACGCAATAACTTTGAAACTCTGGCTGCTTCTCCCCATAATTGCCCTCTACAGCGCAGCATCTTTCTCATTTCCCGAATGCTCTTAGCATGGGAAGAACCTCGTCTCGCTGAACCGTTTCAAGACGTTCTCTATCAAAGCTTTGTCAGATTCTGTTCGTTGTCCTCCCAGGGATTCGTTCAGGAGGATTAACAGAGGGAAATCACTCGGAGATTAAGCGGGTAGTAGGCGACTAGGGAAAATTGGGTGGAAAGAGAGGACGAAAGAAAGGGGATTGCCGGGATTCGAACCCGGGCCTCCTGAATGCCGGTCAGGTGTGTTACCATTATGCCACCGAACCCGGGACGTTCGCGCCTCTCAACAGTGCCTTCACCCCACCCCACCCCACCCCACCCCACCCCATCCCACCCGACCCCACCCCACCCCATGTACCCCTGGGTCTGTGAAGAAAAAGGGGCAAATAGTTATTGGGGAAATATCTGAATATCCTTTCGTTGTGCTTGTCTATGAAATGTTTTCTCGTATGAATAGATGCAGGAAATTCCTCCTTCACCGTCGAATTGATGATGTTGACGAGGATATTCAGGTTCGTTCGAAGCCGGTCGGACAATCGCTCTCGATGGAAGGTCAGATACGTTTCTGCATCCCTTCCAGTCTGCGACACGCATAGGTGGAATATTGACACGAAAACGCCGCCGTAGAGCGGCGGGGGGGGGGGGGGAGAAATCCCTGGAATCCTCCCCATGAGCCGTCGCTGCTTCTTGCAAGCAAGTTAGCCGATGCATCGTGTCGAGGGGGAGCGTGTCAAGGGTTCTTGCCGTGCCGTCGGAATCCTTTCGTCGACATCACGAAATTCTAGATCGGATCACGGGGAGAAGTACGTGCGAAACGCAAGTGATCACATGAGCGTTCATTAACGAGAGTCTGGAACTCAGGAAAGTGAGATTTTTTGTCATCGGCGCTGTTAGGCAGATTCGTGACTTCGGATGAAATCGGTACTTATTTATCGGTTTGCCGAGGAACCGCGAAGACGATGGACGAGGCCACGTCTCTCCCGCGATCAGCCGTGCTCCCACGTTTTTCCTCGATCCCGCGAGGAAAAGGTCGAGGAACTGCTTTCGTGTACAAATGAGCGCAAAATGCGTACAAAATTGGACAGACGAGGGATTTGGGACCCGAAATTATCCGCCGGAACTAGGTATTCGTTGGTTCCTTCGTTCCCTTCGCGAGCGCCAAGCGATCAGAAAGTCCAGGGAGACGCGTTGAAACGTATTCGGACGAGAGACCGAATTCCGACCTGACTGGCCGTGTTCTTGTTAGCACGTTAGAATGGACCGGCGTTAGGCCGATTTTAGTCCAAACATGGCCAGTAGGGTCACTGCTTCATCTATAAAATTCTCACATCGTTTTAGGTAGAGGTGACTTCGTAGAAGCCGAAGTAAACGAGTGATTTTTAAAGAGGGCTTCGACATGAGCCATAAATTAATATTTTCTTTTTGATTCTAGTCGAATGAAAGCGAGGATCCGCAGAATCACTGAAATTAACTTCACTCAATGTGGCAGTCCGTTCATTAATTTTGTGCCCGTTCCGAGAGGTAAGTCGAGGAGCTTGTACTTCGCACGGCTCCAGCGTGTGTTTGTGCCGGTTCAGAATTAGCAAAACGTGTTACTCTGTACTGTAAAAAAGAAATAATGGCGTAGTACCATGACAAGGGGAATAGAGTGAGTGAGAGAAGCGGAAAAAGAGGCTAGGTCATGAGTCGGGGAAGCGCACGACGTGATATCCGCGCAGTAACCAGGCGAGGCATATGCATTCCAGTGACACGTGCAGACTGTGGCCAGCCCGATATAGTTTCTCTCTCTCTCTCGCAGGTGTGGTTGACGTCGTTCAGACAGGTATGGGATGGGATGGTTAGGGTGGATGAAGGGAGCAATCGATTCTAATCGCGTCTGTGTCGAGGAATAACGTGCACCCGCTTCAACTTCGAAAGCCGAGGAATCTCTCGATGCATGCTCCGCTCAGGAAGGGAAAGGGGGGATGCTCTCTCGGGGTGGCACAGGAGTTTCCCGTCGTTCCTTCGGTGGTACCTGAGCGGGAAAACAAGTACTCGAATGTGAATGTATGGAGGAAATACGGGGCGTGTTTCTTCTTCGTCACGAATTTCGTGGTCCTGGTGAGTGACATTGAATTTGAATTCCTCTCGGGACATTTAATTCTCGACCCCCTACCCCCCAACCTTGCTGCCCCCTCCAATCGCTGAATCTTTCGTTTTGATACATTTCACCGTTCCATTTCCGCGTCCTCTGTTTTATCCGGGCCTTGGTGGACGGGGCCGCTCTCTCGTCGGAGTAGAATGGATTCCATGTTTTCCTTCTCATTCTTTCAGAAATACTCGTACGTTCCCGATCAGAAGCCCTAGTAAGCCAAATAGTGAATGTGACTACAACGCAGAAAAGTTAACGGATTTTTATGCTTTACAAATCCCTTTGTAGTACTTGAATCCGTAGAAATGGCATTTTGAACCTGATGGCAGACGGTCGCACTTCGCACGTTTTGTGGCACCGAATCCGTGCTACGTGTAATGCAATCGGTGTCCATGGATGCGTTAGATTGGTTTCTATATCGCTCCTTACGTACTAGGTATGTGGCTTGGTGGTGTTGGCAGGGGGAATCTGGAAAGCGGCGTCCCACGTGGTTTCTCCTCTCGTCAGCGATCTCTTCCCCGCCTCCGCCTACATTCAGATCGCAGCCGGTGCCGTCGTCGTCCTCCTCGCCTTCTTAGGATTCTGTGGGGAAATCAAGAAGGTCAAATGCATGCTAGTCACTGTGAGCGACTCCGGTTTCCTTTCGAGCGTGAGGTCTTAGGGCTGCTACGAATCTCCAGGCTCACTTCCACCTGTTTCTCTCGCAGTATTCCGTCCTTCTCTCTCTGCTGTTCATCGTGTTGTTCCTGGTCGGAATCTTGGGCTTCGCGTTCCGAGACGAGGTCGTGGATTCCATCGATGTGGCTATGAGAAAAGCCCTAATTGAGTACGATGACCGGAAACAAGATTCCGTCAGGCTTGGCTGGGATCATGCACAGAAGAAGGTTAGAAAAATCGGATTCGATTCCATGGGATACCTATACAGTGTAAAATATTTGGCATATTGATGCATTTATTTGATCGATTTTCGGTGTTTGTCTTCTGAAGTTGAGGTGTTGTGGCATCGAGATGGCTGAAGAGTGGCAGGGCAATCATCATCTTAATGGCCGATACCCAAAAAGCTGCTGTCGTTTCGCCCCGGAAGGAGATGTGAGTGTTCTCTACAGCTAGGAAGTTACATGCATGACACAGAGCTTAATGCTGATCGTGCATTCGGTTCCAATTTTTTACATTTAGATGTTGCTTTGTGAATACAACGTGGCCTACACGTGGAGTGAGGGATGTCGGACCAAATTGGAGACTTACATTCGGAATCACGGCGCTATTCTAACAGGCATCGGGATCTGGAGTGTTCTCCTTACAGTTCGTTAATCCGTCCTCAATCTTCGAAGTTCCACGAAGTCGTGCTGCAGGTGCAGTGATCAGCGTCCCTTTTGACTGCTTTCAGGTCTTGGCGATAGCAATTGTCTGTACCCTTTGGAAGATTTTTGAGGGGAAACACGTGTCTTCGCAGATCGTTGTCGTTTCCAAGTCAATAAGTCGATGGACGCACGGATTCCAAAAAGTCAGAAGATCTGCGGACCAGGATCCAGTAAAGAATTGATTCTCTTCTTGTTCCTCTCATGGTTTTTATTATGGTTTCTCTTAGTGCCCTGGATTTGTATCTCAGAAATGACTCATAAATGAGAGACATTGTGAATTTTTTCGATTTTTTGAGGCATACATTTCATTTCCGTAAAGTAGAACTGAGTAAAGAATTCAGGGAAACGTTGGACATTTCACATGGTCATGTTTGGAATGCGTTTTTCGATTCCAGACAGGACAGGACAGTTGAGTAGACAACATCGTAGGATGATTCGTCGGATGAGTCACAGGATGACTCTGGTTGGTGCTTCTTTATTTTAGGAACTGGTTTGCTATCTAAAAAAAAGTTAAAGTTTTATGCTTTCGAGGCTATAATGGTGCCTTTGGAAGCTACTGTTAGGGTGCAACTTGGAAAATTAGCCGTGACCTTTACCCGCAAATATTCCCCACATAACTCAGTTCTCCTTCACAGGAAAGACATATAGAAACTCACGATGACCGCGTAGATGGTAGAAATACCGCCAGGAACGGCCATGCCGGCCCATTCGAAAAAGCCGGTGAGGGAGCTCCTGAGTATGACTGGCGCGTACGGTCCCGCACAGAGTGGTCCGAAGAAGATCCAGGCGCGTCCCCCGTCTACTATATCAGCTTCGAATCTCGTCTCATGTTCGCGAGACAATAATATCCTGGAAGTCATGAAAGGAATGCGGGCCGTCACTGATCGACTTCCCTTTTCTGATTCGTCTTACCGATTAAAGGCTCCTCAGCTTCAATCGGTGCAGGACGGACACGAACGCCCAAGCCGTCATGTTGTAAATATGGAGTACCCGGCGATTACGATCCATCGCGTGCACGAGTTCGCATAAATCACTGCCAAGGTTTCGTTCCGAGGGAAAATTATTTTTCCGTCGTTTAGAGCAAATGTAGGCACGCATAGGGACTGTTTTGACAATGCTGATCTGCCCGAATATATTTTTGCATCGGTGGTCGAATTTACTAGAGGTCGAATTTGGCTCCCTTAAGCCCTCGGGAGGCTGGGTCTGTTGGCTAATGCCCGACTTGAGGGTAGAGAGTTTTTCCCCTCGTCGTCGCCAAAGTCTATTGCGTCGCAAGCCGAGTGAAATACGTCGTTCATGTTTTCTCATGGACGAATAAGGAATGCGAAGCGGTTATTGACCCTGTCACTGTGAGATACATGACACTCTGGGCCCAAGGAGGGGGGGGGGGGGGCACCTGTCGTCTATTATACCCTGGTCCATGTGGCATCAGGGGTTGCCCTGCCCCTATTTGTCGTCCGTTCTTCATTTTGAGGTGGAATGTATCACTTAATCAAACGGATGCGAAACACGTAAATATTCCCCAGCTATGTCCGGAAAATTCATGAAAAGTTTTCTCTCGACTATCCAAGCTAGGGATTCACTCGAGAGGTCGGGTTACCAATCAAGGAGATGCAGCCTTTTAAAGGATTATAGATCGGGGAGCCATCACTCACGGGCGCGGGACAGCCACTACGAGTAGTTCGATGTCTCGAGATACTGGTATCGAAAAAGGGCTCGATGATAATCGGCTGAAGTGTTTCTACACGAATGCATGTAGCTTGCGTAACAAAATGGATGGGCTGCGGGAAGGAACTGGTTATGATGGTATCGGAATCTCTGAGGCTCGGGGGAGCGAGGATATGATTAAGAACTCGAAATCCAGGGATTCGATGCTTTCATATTTTATTGTCACGGTTCAGGCGAGAAACGAACTAGATGTCTGCGTTAGGGAGGATCTTACTTCGGCTAATCGTAGAACAATTGAACATTCATGGCGCGTAATCGTTGGGCGACCGGGCGCCGAGATCCTGCTTGGAATCCACCTGCTTACAGGCCGCCACGTACGCCTCGAGATGATGACGTCGCATTTCAAGCTATGACGAGTGGTATCGGCGAAATGTCTGGTTTGCTCGGTTGGAATTTGTTGATTTTGCTCTTAGGAGATTTTAATATGCCTAGCATAAATTGGTCTGTGCCACGGGGGGGGGGGGGCGAGAGGAATAAGGTGCTCTCTTTGTGTAACACGTTGAAGAACCGACGATAAATCATTAGATTTAACCAGTCGACCTGTGGAAGACTTTCACGAACTTCGAGTCGGACTGGGCCAGTGGTGTCAAATTGCTAGTCAATATAGTCCCCCAAAGTCCTCTTCGATGGATTTGGAAAGCGTCGACCTTTTCAACCTGTTCGCAATTGAAACATTTTGGTGTAAGATTTGCTGATTTGGACCCAGCCACCCCTGAAGGGTTCCATCCGGCCCCCAGCTTAATCCTTTAATCCTTTTCCGTTCCGATGCACATTGCATTTTTATTGTTTCTATGGTAATTTCTTTGGGTTCTCGACTTTTGCGCCCCATATTGCAGTAATATGGACGCAATTATGCGAGGCTCAATTCCATGGGAAGCCTTCTCATACCCGTCAGTTTTATCATCTTCAGTTATGTAATTACATGTGTAATATACAGGGTGTCCCAAAAGGTATGAAAACATTTAAAAATATCAATATCTCTCCAAGTCATGCCTCAAATTAAATGGCTAAAACCGTACAATGAAATGCAGCTTAAACATTTCCCGTCCTGTTACTGCAATTCCACATAGGCTCCATTTGTGATTCTGTATACGTCTAAGTGATGGATGAGCTCTCGCCGCACCTTCTGCAGAGTGTCGGGCATAACTGTCTAGATAGCTGGGACGATTCTGTTCTTTTAGATCTTGATCGATCGTCCACTTCTCTCCAGTAAGCGATGTCGTTTGCTAAATGATGTCGTTTGTCGACGTTGGCTAAAATGTGGTGGTGCAACGTCTTGGGATATTAGACTTTTATTGTGCCTGAACTCATCCCTCTAGGATTTTTTCTTGTGAGACTATGTTAAGGACATTGCTTACTCATGAAAGATCTCCAAGATCTGAAGAACAGAATTGTTGCAGCTATCCAGTCACTCATGACACTGCATAAGTTGTGGCAAGAGCTCGAACAACGTTTGGACGTCTACAGAGCCATGGCCATGAATAGTGCCCGTTTGGAATTGCAATAACAGGTTTTAAAATGTTTTAGCTGCACTTCATTTTTCTGTTTTAATAATTTTATTTGAGGCTTAAGTTAGAGAAGTATTAATTTTTAAAAATGTTTCCATACCTTTTGGGACACCCTGTATAATATATGGTACGATATGGTAAATTTATAATAAAATATATATAAAAATGATGAATAGAACATAAACATTTAAAGTAGAATAAGAAAAGAGCTCAAAAATGCAAAAAGGGTATTTTCCGCTAGTGGCCTTAATTCAGGTCTGAATTGTTGATCGAGTTTGACACCCCTGGCCTAGGCGAAGCGTGCAGCCGTGTCGACAATTCACGAATTCAGTCAGCGGCCCTCTCAACGCTCTACACAGCAGCTGGTCGGACATGGTATGTCTTGCGCCCCCCCCCCTTACCCAAGGGGTGTTCACGCCTATGATACGGACTTTCCCCCGGTGACGTGTAAAACATCTCTGCATATAACCTTTGGAGTCCTCTTTAATCCTCCTGGGGGAAGGATGGCTTCCTTACCGGGATGAGATTTCCCCCCCCCCCCTATATTAATCGGGATAACGGGGTGTCTCATAGATGAGACACCCCGTCCTCGTATTGAGCGGCACTCTCATCCAGAATCGACCGCGACCCCCTGCGTAAAGTCCACCTCCACCACTTTCCATGTAGGCCTATGAGTGAAAAATACGCTAGAGAAACGGGATGTTTATTACGCGGCCGACGGCGTCTTTCCGTTCCAAGGGTAAGCGCTCCTTTTTTTTTTAATCCCGTCCAGATGGGATCCCGCCGCTTTCACTTTCGGGAGTCACTCTCCTTGTGAGAGTGCCGATCAATACGAGGACGACGTTCTAATCTATAGAAGGGTCAATATCCTGAAAAATATAGGGGCAGAGATCTCATCCCGGCAAGGAAGTCATCCTTCCTAAAACGAAACGAAAAGGGACTCCCAAGTATTGTAATCTGGGACGTTTTACACGTTCCCGCGCTAAAGTACGCATCTTGTGAACACCCCACAAACAGGGTGGAGGAAGGGATGAGGAGAGGGGGGAGTGCGCAAGACGTAGAATTCCTCTCCCTCCCGTCCTCGAGAGTGGATCCGACAGCCAGAAAGAAAGCGCGACCTTGAGAGAGCGAGAAAGAAAACCGGAGCCAGGCAGAGGAAGGCGTCGCGCATGCGCAGATCGATGCGGACGGACAGACGCCTGAGCATAGTATATATATATATATATTATAGGAATAGAATATCCCTTGGGGATAACTTTTTCAGGACAATCCAGGTGCTGGGAGCGATAGCCGACAACCACAGACACCTAGGCTTATTATGTTAGTGAGAGAATCATGCCGATCAAGCTAGACCAACAGCCAGCACGAGTCCAGCTATTGATAGAAAATGAGAAGAGAATACAAAAAAAGCGAAGGATGGCTAAGGAAGCCTAATGGACTGGCAAGTCGTAGGAGTCTCGTCGGGGGCACGATCCTACCAAACAACTTGCAGTGTAGTAAAACCCTTTTCGACATCTCCACACCAGGGAATGATCATTAAGGAAGAGGACAGTGGCTGCCACAACAGGAGTAACAAAAAGCTTCCACAGCGAAAGGCTTAAGTCTCAAGCTATATATATATAATATATATAGATAATATAATATAACATATAGATATATAGATTTTCTCTTCGGACGACGGTCTGGCACTGGATTTTAAAAGGATAAATTGGGG